GGAGTATTTCTATATTTTTATTTATTTGTGTTTTTTTTAATCTCTGCTTTGAACCAAAAAATATATACAGTTCTGTATTAGACAAAGGAGGAGGCCTACTGATGTAATGTTTCAAAAAACTTAGCTGCTAACAAAAAGTTCTGTAGTATGAGCCCACCAGCCCACTTGCGAAAGAAGTTGGAGTCCTGCCTCTATAAAGTCCATAGCCTTAGATATCCTACTGGGAAAGTTCTCTATCAGTATTAGCTGACAGAACCAACTCAATAGCTACAAGTAACAATACTGGATTGTTATAAAGAAAGAAAACAGGTTAATTAAAAGACATAATACCTTATACTGAACAAGGTTAAGAGAAGCCAAGACATTATTACAGAACTCAGAAAAACTATATACTAGTAAAATTTCCCAATCTGCATGATCTTAATTTGGAATTAGCAAATTTTCACCAATAAAATATTATAGTTTAGGCATATATGCATTGCTTTTAATTACCAAAAAATTAGCTAACATAAAATGCTTGTTTAATTTATTAGTATATGTCACCTTGTGGACAAGTGACATGAAGCTGCACAGCAATCCCAAAAGGACACAGTTCAAATCCACCAGTTGTTCTGTGGGCGAAGGATGGGCAGTCTCCTCCCAAGTGATTAAGTGTCTCTGAAAACTCACAAGAGGGTCACTTACAGGTCGGGTCCGACTCAGAAGTACACAACAACAACATTCTAATCAAGGAGCTCTGGTGGCCTAGTGATGATAAATTGCACTGCAATCCCAAAGGCATGTGATTCAAATTCACCACATGCTTTACAAGAAAAGGATGAGCAATCTCCTCCTGTGTGATTAACTGCCCACTGGAGGGTCAGCTATGGGTCAGTTCTGATTGGACAGTACACAACAATGCTCTAAACACTTTGAAAATACTATTATTTCCTCTTTACAACCCTATAAACTAGGTATTACTATCACACAACAAAGGAGATAACAGAGGGATAAGGAAGTTAAGTAATTTGACAAAGGGTAAAAGTGCTAAAAAATGACAGAATTAGGATTCTAATTTAGGCAGTCCTAAATGAGTATCAACAAACAGACGCTGCCCTGGATGTGCTACATTGTGCCAAGAAATCTAGAGGCCAACCACCTGGCTAACTGACTGGAAGAGATCTATACTTGTTCCTATTTAAAAGAAAGGTGACCCAGCAGTTTGTGGAAACTATCGAACAATATCATTAATATTGCACGCAGGCAATATTCTGCTGAAAATAATCCAAAAAAACGACTGGAGCAGCACATCAACAGAGAACTTCCAGATGTGCAGGCTGGGTTTAGAAGAGCCCATGGTACTAGAGATATTATAGCTAATGTTAGATGGAGCTTGGCTGAAAGTTAAGAGTACCAGAGGAATGTCCGTGTTAATTTATTGACTATGCAAAGGCATTTGACTCTATGGATCACAATAAACTGTAGCTGACTCTGGGAAGAATGAGAACCCTAGAACATTTCCTTGTGCTTATGAGAAACCTATACTGGGACCAGGAGGCAGTCATCAGAACAGAGCAAGGAGACATTGTATGGTTCAAAATCAGGAAAGGTATATACCAGGGATGTATTCTGTCTCCCTATATTTTCAGTCCATATGCAGAATACAACATCCGGGAAACTGGGCTGTATGAGCAGGAAGGTGGCATCAGAGTTGGAGAAAAAGTCATCTGCTTTATGCAGATGACACGTGCTGCTTGCTGTAACTGAGGAGGATCTGAAGCGCTTGCTACAGAAGGTCCAGGACTGCACCCTTCAATACTGATTGAAGCTCAACATCAAGAAAACAAAGATTCTCGCCACTGGGCCAATTAGCAACATCATGATAGATAGTGAAGAGACTGAGATTGTTAACAGCTTAGTTTGCTTGGCTTTACAATCAACACTCTTGGTACCAGCAGCCAGGAAATCAAGGGATGAACTATATTGGGAGAGTCAGCTGTCAGAGACCTCTTAAAATACTGAAGAGCAACAATGTCAGTCTCGAGTCTAAGGGGCACATGATCCAGGCCATAGTCTTCACAATTGCTTGCTATGCACTAGAGAGCTGGACAATGACTACGGATGATAGAAAGAGAACTGATGGCTTTGAGCTGTGGTGCTGGAGAAGAGTTATGAATATACCACGGACTGACAGGAAAATAAACAGGTTTGCCCTAGACAGGGTGAAACCAGCCTGCTCCTTGGAGGCAAAGATTCTGAAGCTTTGTCTGACATATTTTGGGCATGTTGCAAGGAGGGACCAATTCTTGGAGAGGGATATCATGCTTGGAAGGGTGGAGTGATGGAGAAAGAGAGGGAGACCACTGATGAGATGGACTGATACAGTGACTAGGGTAATGAGGGTAGATGTGTCGGAGACAATAAAGCTGGCATAGGATAGAGCAGAGTTTAGCAGGGCTGTTGTACATAGGGTCACTATGACTCGCAAGTGACTAGACGGCACATAACAACAATAACAACAAGCGAAGATCGTATATGTCTTGGAGAAGGTACGGACAGAGTGCTCTTTGGAGGCAAGAATGATGAGGCTTCACCTCTCATACTTTGGGCATGTTGTTAAGAGGGGCTATCCCTTGGAGAAGGACATGATGTAGGGAAGCGTGGAGGTTTGCTGAAGGAGAGGAAGACCCTCAAACAGGTTGACTGATATGGTGACTACTGCAATGGGCTCTTGTATGTCAAAAATGAGTGAGTCTGGCACAGGATAGAACAGGGTTCAGACCTTTTGTTCATAAGGTCGCTATGAGTCATTCTCTACTTGATGGCACCTACTAACAAGTGAAGATCATGCTCCAAGCACTATGCATACTACCTTGACTACAGCTACTATACCCCAAAGCCCTCAATCCTAAATGAACTAAAGACAGAGCCTCTATTTAATACAGAGCTCCCTATTTCATAGTAGGAAGAGGCAATCCTAAGAAAATTTGCCATTTAAATAGAAATGTATTTTTCTATCCACTGTTAAAAACCTTCCCCTTTATTAAAAAGACATAACAAAAATAATTTTTTAGATAAGAACTGATCATACAGACATAGTTTCAAAGTTTCATGTGAAATACTGTAGCATGTAGAACACTACCTATTTGGCAGACATTCTTCTACATGTTAATATTTCTTTAAATTCTCCTATCTGTGAAATACATGCAACTCTTACTCCAATTTTACAGATAAACTGAGATATGGGGATTGGTGTTAAATAACTTGTTCCAGGCTGTACAGTCAGAAATGTCTTTTGAACTTAGGTAGCAATCTGACTCTAGCAAATACACTATATATAAATTTATCAAGATATATCATTTTATGAGATGGATCGATTCTGTGACTGGAGAGGTGGGAATAAGTGCATTTGAGATAGCTAGGTTGGCAAAGGATAGAAGAACGTACAGAGCTCTTACACATAGGGTCGCTATGAGTTGCAAGCCACTCGATAGCACCTAACGACAACAACATGTCATTTTAAAAGAATTTATTTTCACAAAAGTATTTTAATGTGAAGTTTCAATATAGAAACTTATTTGTGACTTAATTGAAATATTTGCTTTTTTCCCTTAGAAACAGATTATTAAGTTTTTTGTTCTTGGGTCTGGTTTCTAAAAAAATATTTGTGTGTGTGTGTGTGTGTGTGCATGCGTACATATGCCATAGAATCAGATCCAACTGGTACAGGAGGAGATTGCCCCCTTCTTCTCCAGTGGAGCATTTGGTGGATTTGAACCACACACCTTTAGGATTGCAGTTGAAGGTTCTTTCCACAAGGCCACCAGAGCTCCCTAGATTATTAATTTTTTAAAAAATATCAATTTTCAGTTTGTGTTAAGTTTCTATCATTAAAGTTGTAGCTAAACTTACAAACTTCAGTAAAACTTATGAGGAGGAATAAACAGTTTTTGACACTGAAAATATTTAAGATACAATTCTGGCTTGGCCTTAAAAGAGAACATTCTTATTGTGATTTTGAGTTCATTTTTATGTTTTCCCAAAAATTACATGTGAAAACAACCAAATTTTATATTGCATATGAAAGTTACAACCTGTTACATCATAAAAGTTAGAACACATTATTGCAGCACTGCAGACTACTGGAGCAAAGTAAAAGATGAATGAAACTTAAGTTTAAAATCATTACAGTATGCTTGAATAGATTTATTCCTATTAAAATATGATCTTGCTTGTCAATTAATTGTACTGTGAAGACATTTAAAAAACCAAATTTTGGAGATGGTACATTTCAAATAAGCATGGGTTGTTCAGAGCTCATATAGGAAAATGCTAGATCACAAACAGAGCTAGAACACAGGGGATCAAAGGAGTAAAATGTCTTTTAATAGCACTTACTTGCCATGAGATTGTTTTACAATAGACAAGGGTACAAAAACATATAGTATGATGCAAACAAAAATCTTAAAAAGTAATAACCGTGACATATAACAACAAATGTGAGTGTATACAGCATGCTGGGGAATGCAGTGAGGACCACCAGAGGAAAGGGGGAAAGGCTTCACAAGTTGTTTTGTTTGGTGATGGATCACTATTTCCATAAAAATTAGATACAATTTGAGAAATACATATTTGATTATTTTTTAATTAATTTCCCCTCAATTTTAAATATCAATTTGCCAGTTAATTTTTTAATTTTAATTTCTGAAATTCCTTAAAATTGTGCAAAATAAGCTTTTAAAAACAAGTGGATCACAAAACACATAGAGTATATAACAAAGTTAAATATAATATAATTTCAAATAACCTATTAAGTTAGTTACTTATTTCTTTTATTTCACTTACCATTGATCTAACTCAATGTGGCAAAAGGTTACATTCCTACAAGTTTACACAGTTTAATGATTAACTATATTCATCTACCCACCATGACAAAAGGAGTATATATAGAGTTCAGAGATCTAGGTCTGCTTAGAAGGGAAAACTAGTTCCAAATTGGTTTTAAAAATCAAATAATTAAAATGTACACCATTAAGGTTTTTCTTTTTATTATCCCTCTAGTTATTTCCTCCAGAATTGACCAAGAATATTCATCATTTGATTCTATAGCTCCAGAGCCAAAATCAAGATTTGCTATGTTAGATGACGTAAAAATTTTAGCAAATGGTCTCCTTCAGTTGGGGCACGGTCTTAAAGACTTTGTCCATAAGACTAAGGGCCAAATTAATGACATATTTCAAAAACTTAACCTATATGATAAGACTTTTTATGACCTATCACAGCAAACCAACGAGATCAAAGAAGAAGAACGGGAACTTAGAAAAACCACATCCAAACTACAAGTGAAAAATGAAGAAGTGAAGAATATGTCACTTGAACTTAACTCAAAATTTGAAAGCCTTATAGAAGAAAAAACTTTACTACAACAGAAAGTAAGATATCTGGAGGATCAACTAACTAATTTAATCAAAACTCAACCTGAAGTCAAGGCACATCCAGAAGTAACATCACTTAAAGTAAGTAAAATCCAAAAAAGGTTCATGATTATATTAAAAATGTGACTCTTTTAAAAAAATATTTTAGGACATGCTATTTGTTAATATACTATAAATATGTTCTCAAAGAAAAAACCTGTTGTGATTCTAAGTTTGTTTTTCTGTTTATTCAAAATTATATATGAAAACAACCAAACTCTCTATTTCATATGAAAATTACAACCCATTCTATAGTAAAAGTTAGACCGTTAAACATTATTACAGCATTGCAAATTAATGGTGGAATGTTAAAGGTTAAAACTTAGAAGTTAAAGAAAATTAGGTTTTAAATCATTCCTGAACACATGAATAAATTTATTCCTATTAAAACACTGCATTGCTTTGCAATTAATTTTAGTGATTAGAAGTGAAAAATACCAAATTTTAGAGATGGTATTTTTCAAAGAAAACAGAAGTATAAAATATGCATTATATGAAAGAAATATGAGTGAAAAAATGATTGCTGGTATAATTTTTCTAATATTCATTTAAAAATTAAATTAGGATAGTATATAATATTGTCTAAAATAACTCTAAACCTAACAAAAAGAGAGGAAGAAAGGAAAAAGGACAGGGAGAAAGGGAAAGGCAAAGAAGGAGCATGGACAGGAGAGGAGGATGGAGAAGGGGGAGAGAGAGGTAAAGAAGTGAAAGGGGAGGAAGGCAGGCAGGCACGGAGGTGACGAGACAGAAGGACACACTTAACCAACCTGTACTCTATGTCCAGAGTTTTGTAGAGCAACAAGACAATAGCATCAAGGACCTTCTCCAAACCATGGAAAACCAATACAAACAATTAAATGAACAACACAGCCAAATAGAAAAAATAGAGAATCAGGTAAGTCAACACTCTAATACTATATCCAGTCATTGCAGTTTCTAAAAACACAAAAAAGTTTTAAAATCATTTAAACAGTTTAACTGGATAGTGAATAAAATTAAAGACAGCAGAAAAATTTGGCTTCACAATTTATTAGGTTACCTTGAATAATTCTTCTCTATTGTCTTATCTATGTTGGGTAAATAATAACACAACCTATTTTATAGGATTGCTGTGAGGAACTAGCTTATTAAAATATATTTACAAGTTTCGTTTGAATCAAGGCCCTTCAGTGGTTCTCCATGTCACTCACAGTACTTAAGAGCCAAAATGACTAGACCCTTGAACACCATGATGACTTTATCTTCTCTAACAAGTCTAGCTGGCCTCCTCACTGTTACACAACATATCATGCATACTACAACCTCAGAGCCTTGTTGTCCCTGTCTGTAATAATCTTTTCCTTGATATCCGCAAAGTACTTTTTCATTTTTAGTCAATTTGTCTTCAGTTCTTAATATCACTCTCAAAGATGCCTTCTAGTACATAGTCAATATTTATAACCCACTACTCCCATTATCAAGTGTTCCTTTTTTATTCATTACTTTTATTAATCTTTAACATTGATTCCTATCTAACATAATCTTTACTAACACAAATTTTATTTGTGTCTAAATAACAGTAACTTGGTTATGTCTCTAAGTTATTATATACACTCCATCTGTTCAGGGATTATTTTCCCCTCATTATGTTTACTACTGTAGCCTAAAAAATATAAAACACTGTTTAACTTGTAGTAGGCACTCCACAAAATATTTGTTGAATAAAGTAGTCTCATATTCAGGGAGCTCTGGTGGTTTATTGGTAATGAATTGTGATCCAAACCCAAAGGTACACAGTTCAAATAGACCAGCTTCTCAAGGGAGAAAGATGGGCACACTATTCCTGTGCTATTTTATTGCCTCTGAAAAGCCACTGGAAGGTCAGCTATGAGTGAGTCAGTTCTAACTCAATGGTACTCAACAATAACAGTCTCACATTTAGCATGTAGCACTCAATAAATAATGGCCAGGATTTTTTTTACTCTAAAAATTCTACAATTCAATGATTAAAGTCCAATACTCAACACTATAATTAATCTATAAAGAAAATGGCTGGCTAGGTGAAGAAAATAATACTTGTTCAGATTAAAGTTCTTATAGAATAAAAGTATTCCAATATAGTAAAAAGTTTAAAAAATTTTAGTGCTACTCTTCTAATAATTATTCAAAAGGATTTAAAAATACACAACAGAATCAGAGAAGCTGTTTATACTGTTTTCAAGAACTAGAAAACAAATTATATTATTAATTTCCAGTCTCAAAAGCCAATCACCTTAGTCTTATCATGTTTCTGAAAGCTTCTGAATCATAGATTTTTAGCCGATAACGCCAACTGCCCAAAAAAGAATTTTGACAATTATTTTTATTTCCATAATTTCGGTCTTCATACATACACATATACATACAGAGAGAGAGAGTCTTTCCAAGCTCTTTGTTAATATACCTTTTAATACGAGTAACTGAACCTGATCAGAAAAGCAGCATGGTAACAAAGTGATAAATGTTCTGTAGAATAATAAAATGTGTGAAGAAATGAAAATAATGAATTTCTAAATCAGAATAGACTTTAGCTTATGTGATCTAATTTCCTCAAAGTAACATGTCAAGAAATGAAGTGGCTTCTAGATCATTTAACTATTCCGTACCAAACACTAGCTCTTAGAAAGTGAAATTTACAAGGAATCCTCTCGAATTAGAACCTAGGAAATGCCAAGCATTTGAGAACAAGCCAAGGTTTGAGGATAAGGTACAAAATAGAATTAGTAAATATAAAATCTGCCTGTTACAAAATAAAATATATTGATAAGAATAATCCTTTTGTTAAATGTATTCCATTAAATGAAATAAAAACAATTTAAAAATACATGGAACAAAGCAAAGTATATGCTATTAATGTTGTTACGCTTCTGGCTCCATCTGGTTTTCTGCTTTGCTCTTTCTTTGTTCTGTTTTCTTACTCAATCTATAAAATCTAAGTAGCATGATTTATGCTCATAACTTAAAAAACTGTAAAACATGATAAAATGAAAGACAAAACACATATGAATTATTATCCTTAATCATATTTCTTCTACTTGTATAGTCACTACAATTTTTAAAAACACATTCCTATTTTTTTTTTATTAGCTAAAAAGGACTGTTACTGAAGAGCCCACAGAAAATTCCAAGACCAGAGCACCAAGAACTACACCTTCTTTTCAAATGAATGAAGAAAAACATTTAGAATATGAGGGTAAGATAGAGTGGTGGCCTGCCTCTTGAAGCTACCGAGTTATCTTCAATATTGCCCCCCTTTTTGCCATTGCAATCAACAGGAGCTACTCACCAGACCTGTTCTACACTAAACACGAGTTAGGAGACATAACCACCAAACAAAATGTACCAGCCTAAACTGGATGATGAGTTAGAAAAAAAAATGAAATATATTATTAGGACAATCAGGAAATATGAATAAGTACTTAAAATAAGATCATTTGGAATGTTCTTGGATGTGAAAATGACATTACAATTATGTAGGAAAAGAATATATTTAAGAGACACATGCTGTAATATTTAAGAGGTTAAAGGTTCATTATTTTAAATTTTCTACTAATTTACAAAATTCTAATACAAAGTTTTCAAAAACAAATTCTCTCAATTTCCTTCACCTATCAAATTGTACAACTCCATGATTAATCCCTCCCTCCGCTTGTATATCTTCCTCCCTATGCTTCCAACCTCTTCCAACCCTCTTGGATCCTTATCCTCATTCTACAATAATGGTTTTATATTTATCCTTGTGGGACTGAATTTGTTCATTCAGCATAATGCTCTCCAGTCCCTCCCAAGTTAGGTAATAATTTACAAAATCATTGCTCTTGTGTGCTGCTTAGTATTCCATTGTGTGAATATACCATAATTTCTCAATCCATTTGTCGTGGGCTGTTTCCAGGTTCTTGCAATGGTGAATACTGCTTTTAGGAACACTGGCGTACAAATCTCTGTTTGTGCCTCAGTTCTCATTTTTCAGGGTATATTCCAAGTAGTTGAATAGCTGGGTCATAGGGAATTTCTATGTTCAGCTTTCTGAGGAAGTATCAAACTGCCTTCCAGAATCATTGTACCATTTTACAATCCCACCAACAATGTATAAGAGTTCCTATCTCACCACATCCTCTCCAAGATTTATTACTTGCTGCCCTGTTAAACTTTGCCACTCTTGCTGGAGTGAGATGGTACTTCATTGTGGTTTTGATTTGCATCTCTCTTACTGCCAGTGATTTTGAGTATTTCTTCATGTGTCTGTTTGCTATTCGACCATCTTCCTCTGTGAAAATTCTTTCCATGTATTTTGTCTATTTTATAATTGGGTTACCAGTCTTTTTCCTGGCTAGGCCCAGGAGTATTTGTAAACTTTTGTTATATGACTCTTAAATATTTGTTCCCAGTCTATACATTTTCTTTATATCCTGCTGGAAAAAGGTTTTGATACGCATATGGATTTAATCTTAAGAAGGTCCTCTGTATCAATTTTATCCACTTCAGATTGTGCACTACTGGTTGCATTTGGTAGTCTCTTTATACATTGGACTAGTTCTTCTAAGCTTGATCCCAGTTTGACTCTTACAAATGTTATGATTTTGAGCTTAACTCCCAACTCTCTGATACACCTTGAGTTTTGTGTATGGTGGGATGTGGATGTTGTTTTAGCTTTCTGCAGGTGGAAGTCCAGTTTTGCCAGCAACATTTGTTAAAGAGGTTCCCCCATTTGATAGTTTTTATTTCCTTATTGACTATTTATTGACCATAGATAACTAGAGCTATTTCTGGGTTCTCAATTCTGTTCCATTCTTCTATGTGCCTGTCATTGTACCAGTACCATGCTGTTGTGGTGACTACTGCTATGTAGTAGGTTTTGAGGTCAGGGAGTGCTATGCCTCCAACCTCATTTTTGCTTCTCCTCTAACCTCATTTTTGCTTCTCTGAAGTGTTTTGCTAATTCGGGGTCTCTTGTCTCTCCAAATCAATTTTTTAATTTCCCTTTCAATCTCCTTGAAAAATGAATTCAGTATCTGGATTGGGATTGCACTGAACATGTACATTGCTTTTGGTAGGATTGTCACTTTCACAATATTGAGTCTTCCTATCCATGAACAGGGCATATTTTTCCATTTCTTTAGGTCTTTTATTGTGTCTTGCAGAAATTCTTTGTAGGTTTTTTATATAGGTCTTTTGTATCTCTAATTAGGTTCACTCCTAAGTATAAAAGTTCATTATTTATGCACTTTCAAATGTTATAGCAAAAATGTGTTTGGTATGAGTGCTTGTAATAAATCAAATATAGACCAATATTAATTTTTTAGGAGATGAAAAGAATATACTTTCTTCTTTATTTCTTTGCAATTTATTATTTACTTCAATTGGAAAAACAAAAAACAAACCACAAAACCAACCAAGTAGAAAACTCTGAAGGGAACAAATCTCCATTCCCAACCAATTTTCAATAAAATTATTATATACCTTCAAAGCAAGCAGGGTTGTGTCATCTGCATAACGCAGATTGTTGATGAATCTTCCACCAATCCTGACACCACACTTTTCCTCATAGAGCCCAGCCTCCGGGATAATCTGTTCTGCACACAGGCTGTAAAGGCATGGAGACAGGACAAATCCCTGGCGTATGCCCTTTTCAATTTTGAACCATGCAGTGTTTCCTTGTTCTGTTCTGGCTCTGCTTGCTGCAGAGGGTTAAGGACTACAGCCCTCCAATATGGATTGAGGCTCTATGTCAAGAAGACAAAGATTCTCACCACTGGACCAATTGGCAGCATCAGGATGGATGGTGAAGAGATTGAGATTGTTCACAGCTTAAGTTTGCTTGGCTCCACAGTCAACACTCTCAGCACCAGTAGCCAGGAAATTAAAAAACGTATTGCAATATGAAAGTTTGCTGTTAGGGACCTCTCCAAAATACTGAAGAGCAATGGTGCCTCTCTGGAGACTAAGGTGCGTCTAATACAAGCCATGATCTTTGCAATCACTTGTTATACATCAGAGAGTTGGACAGTGATTAAGGAGGATAGAAGGAGAATTGCTGCCTTTGAGCTGTGGTACTGGAGAAGAGTACTGAGGGTACCATGGACTGCTAGGAAAACAAAGAGATTCATCCTAGAAAAGGTTAATCCGGGCAGCTTCCTGGAGGCAAGGATTCTGAGGCTCCATTTGGACATGCTGTAAGGCGGGACCGGTCCTTGGAGATATCATGCTTGAGAGGGTGGAGGGACAGCTCAGGAGGGGAAGGCCCTCTATGAGGTGGACTGATTCAGTGACTGGGGTAATCGGGATGGGTGTGTCAGAGACAGTGCAATTGGCACAGGGCAGAGCAGAGTTTAGGGCTATTGTACACAGGGTTGCTATGAGTCGTAAGCGACTCGATGGCACATAACAACAACAACATCTATAATGTACTAAGCTCTACACTAATTCCGCATATATGGTATTTTCCATCTTTTTCCCCCTTTGTCTAGAGGGAAAAGTTTAAAATTCTCCTTGTTTTCTTAAAATTAATTAGTTGGTCAAAGCCAGAAAAAATATATATTGATGAATAGGAACTTGTATAAATATGGAAGAAAATGCAAAAAAATGGAAGAATTGAAACTATACATGAAGAGATACAAGAACCTAAAAAAATCATCACAAGATAAAGTGCTGCCAACATAGCACTAGAAATAACAGAAAGGCATGAAAATGCAGTCCAGAACACTAAGAATGAAACGGCAGAAGTGTCTAACGTGTTGGAAGGACAAAAAAGTAGAAGAGAGGAGATGGGACAGAGAGTCAGTGAGCTGGAAGACAAGAACCTCAGTGAAAATATACTAGGAAGAAAAATCAGAGATGAGACATAAAGAAAATATTAGAATTATGAGGATAACAACAAAAGGAGTAACATACAGATGACTGTAATTCCAGAATATGAGAGGGACAGGGAAATCATTGAGAAAACTGTGGAAGAGGTACTAGAAGAAAACTACCAAAGTATTATGAAGAGTGGGGAAATTAAAAAAAAAGGAGTGAGGAGATTCATATTCAAGAAGCTCAACAAACACTAAACAGACTAGACCCCAAAAGAAAAACATCAAGACATATTACAGTCAAATTCTCTAAAAAAGATAAGGCGAGAATATGGAAAACAGCACTATAGAAACAAATAGTCACCTACAAAGGTAAAGCAATCATATTAAGTTCTAATTTTTCAGCAAAAAACAAGTAAGCAAGAAGACAATGGGATGTCATTTACAGAAAGTTGAACGAAAACAACTGCTAGCCCAGGATCCTATATTCAGTAAAGCTCTCGATCAAATAGGAAGGAGAAATCATATCCTCTGCAGAAAAGAAAGTACTTGAGGAATTTGTGAAAACAAGCTCAAACCTACAAGAACTTTTAGGGGAAGTCCCTCACAGAGAGACAACAAAGGAAAGTGGATGAGCCATAGTAACAGGAAACAACAAAAAAGAAACACAGCAAAATGGCAATGATAAAACCTGGCCTGTCAATAATCACAATTAATGTGAATGGACTTAATGCACCAATCAAAGGAAAAAGAATAGCAGAATGGATAAAAAGAAAATCCAACCAATATATTGCTTACAAAAGACACATCTAATAAATGAAGAGAAAGATAAGACTCAAAATGAAAGGCTGGAAAAAAAAAATATATCAAGTAAATCCATCCAGAAAAAAGTAGGAGTGGCAACACTACTCTCTGATAAAACAGACTTCAGGATGAAAATCACCATAAAAGATAAGGAAGGGCTATATCATGATTAAAGGTACAGTAGATCAAGAAGATACAGCACTAGTCAATATCAATGCACCAATTGAAAGTTCCGCTAAATACGTAAAACAACTGTTAATAGAACTGAAGAAACAGACAGTACCACAGTAGTGGTAGGAGACATTAACACACCACTCTCGCCAAAGGACAGGTCAACTCAAAAGAAACTTAACAAAGATGCAGAAGACGTAAACTACACAGTCAGCCAACTCAACCTTGTGGATGTATTCCAAGCACTGCACACAATTAAAACTCGATTCACTCTCTTCTCAGGTGCACATAGTACAATCTTCAGAATTGATCATATAGTAGGGCACAAAGCAAGCCTCAACAAATTAAAAAACGCTGAAATAATACAAAGTATCTTCTCAGACCACAATGTCATAAAAATAGACATTAACAAGAAGATAAAGCTTATAAAGCCACCAACATGAAAGCTAACTAATATCCTACTAGAACAAGACTGGGTTATAGAAGAAATAAAGGATGAAATAAAAAAAGCTCCTTGAAACAAATGATAATGAAAATACAATGTACCAAAACCTCTGGGATTCAGCTAAGGCAGTTCTTAGGGGACAGTATACAGCAATAGGCAAACATAAAAAAATGAAGGGGAAAAAAAAGAAGCAAAATAAATTATCTAATTCAACACCCTTTTCAACATGTATGCAGAGCAGATTATCCGAGAGGCTGGGCTCTATGAGGAGAATTGTGGCATCAAGATTGGTGGAAGATCTATTAACAATCTCCGTTATGCAGATGACACAATCTTGCTTGCTGAAACTGAGGAGGACCTCATGCACTTGCTGCGAAGGGTCAAGGACTGCAGCTTTCAGTATGGACTAAGGCTCAATGTCAAGAAGACAAAGATTCTCGCCACTGGACCAATTGGCAGCGTCAGGATGGATGACAAAGAGATTGAGAGTGTTCACAGCTTCACTTTGCTCAGCTCCACAGTCAACACTCTTGGTACCAGCAGTCAGGAAATCAAAAAGCGTATCGCGATGGGAAAGTCTGCCGTTAGGGACCTCTCAAAGGTACTCAGGAGCAACAGTGTCTCTCTGGAGACTAAGGTGCGCCTGATACAGGTCATGGTATTTGCAATCGCTTGTTATGCATCAGAGAGTTGGACAATGATTAGGGAGGACAGAAGGAGAGTGGATGCTTTTGAGCTGTGGTGCTGGAGAAGGGTACTGAATGTACCCTGGACTGCCAGGAAAACAAACAGATCCATCTTGGAGAAGATTAAACCAAGCTGCTCCTTGGAGGCAAGGATTCTGGGGCTTCGTCTGACATACTTTGGACATGTTGCCAGGAGGGACGGGTCCTTGGAGAGGGACACCATGCTTGGGAGGGTGGAGGGACGGCGCAGGAGGGGAGGACCCTCTATGAGATGGATTGATTCGGTGACTGGGGTAATCGGGATGGGTGTGTCAGAGGCGGTGCGGTTGGCGCAGGATGGAGCAGGGTTTGGAGCTGTTGTGCATAGGGTCGCTATGAGTCGGAAACGACTGGATGGCACATAACAACAACAACAACAATTCAACACCTTCATTAAATAGAAAAAGAACAACAATCTAATCCCAATTTGGTTTTTCAAAAGGGTCAGTAAGTTAAGCAAACTGTCGGCAACCTTAACAATAGAAAAAAAGGGCAGAATACACAAACATAATTAAGGAATGACAGAAGGGATGTCACAAAAGAACCAGAGGAAATGAAACCTATAATATCGGAATATTATGAAAAGGTATAAATAAATTTGAAAACTTAGAGGAAATGGACAAATTCCTTTAAACGTATGCCCTATGCAGACTGACATGGTCAAATGTAGAATACTTCAACAAACCCATCACAAAAGAAGAAATTGAGCAGGTCATAAAAAGACTGCACCATAAAAAAAAGTCCTTGATCAGAAAGCTGAAACAGACTCCACATTTCACACCATACACAAAAATCAATTCAAGGTGGATCAGAGACCTCAGAATAAAGCCAAAAAGTATAAAGCTCGTAAGAGAGAAACTGTGACCAAGCTTAGAAAGTCTAGTCTACGATATATTGGGATTGCCAAATACAGCCAGAAATGCACAATCTGAAAAGGATAAAACTGATGAATGGGACCTTTTAAAGAATCAATCTCTGTGTTCATCAGATCTTTTTCCAACACGGTGAAAAAGAACCTACTGACTGGGAACAAACATTTGGCAATGCTATCTCAGATAAGAATTTCATAACAAAAGTTTACAGACTCCTATAGGGCCTCCACTAGAAAAGGACTGATAATCCAGTTACAAAAATGGGCAAAAGACATGGAGAGACTTTTCTCAGAAGATGACATTCATATGCCCAACATTTTGAGGAAATGCACCAAATCACTGGCAATAAGAGGGATGCAAATCAAAACCACAATGAGATAGCATCTTACTCCAGTAGCAGTGGCAAAGTTTAGCAGGGCAACAAGTAATAAATGTTGGAGAGGATGTAGCAAGATAGGAACTCTTATATATTGTTGCTGGGATTGTAAAACGGTACAACCACTTTGGAAAGCAGTTTGGTGTTTCCCCAAAAAGCTGAACACAGAAATTCCCTATGACACAGCTATTCCATTATTTGGAATATACCCTGAGAAAATGAGAACTGAGGCACCGAGACTTGTACACCAATGTTCAAAGCAGCGATATTCACCAAAACAAGAACATGGAAACTGCCCAAATGCCCAACCACAATGGCAGGGATTGAGATATAATGGCACATCCAGACAGTGGAATACTATGCAGCACTCAGAGTAATTATTTTTTTAAATTACTACCTAACTTGGGAGGGACTGGAGAGCATTATGCTGAGTCAACTAACTCACTCTCATAAAGACAAATACTGTATAAGATCATTATTATAGAATGAGTATGAGGATTCATGGGGGCGCTTAATCATAGGGTCACACAATTTGATGGGTGGAAGGAGGGATGGGTAAAGGAAAGGGGAAAGATTCAGTGTGAAAAATCATGTATACGAACTTTATGAACTTAGTAGGTAAACTAGTATAAAACAATTTTTATGAAAAGCAAAAAATGTACTTTCAAAGATTACTGAAAAAGACTACATTCTACCACAATTTGATAAAACAACAAATAAAATCTCAACTTCTAAAGATATCCCTAATATTACATCTTTAATAGCATTTTATTATTTCTAGGCATTCCTGTTGATTGTGCCACCATTTCCAACAGAGGTGAAAAAGTGAGTGGCATTTATGCTATTAGACCCACCAGCTCTCAAGTTTTTAATGTCTGCTGTGAAGTTAAATCAGGTAAAATCAGCCTAAAAATGATGGCATTACTTCAAGTCATTTTCCACCTATTAACAAGAATAGCTTGCTATCAAAAAAAAAAAATAGCTTGCTATCTTTGATTAGACTATATACAGAGTCAAAATTATTAGTATTAATATAGATATACTCTTATATTTATATAGTAACTGCTGTTGTTGCTGTTGAGTACCACTGAGTCAGAATCAACCCATAACTGACCCTCTGGTGGGTTTACAGAGGCAGTTAACCGCACAGGAAGATTCTCATCTTTCTCTCACACAGAAGCTGGCAGATTCGAACAGCAAGCATTCGGAATTGCAGCACAGGTTCTTAACTCTAGGCCACCAGAGCTCCCTATATAGTTTATATATCTAATACATAAACCTTATATATGTGTTCACTTATGTATTTATTCATTCTTCTACTTTCTTCCATAAAATAAACTGAAAAGACTATTTTAAATATGTTTACTGATATGAAATTCATTAGATGTCCTTCATATATTTTGAAATACAATTTCCATAAACATTAATAAATTACTTTGGAACAGTACATTAAAAAAGATAAATACTTTTTTACATATGTCAATATCAATTTATTGAATATGTGATATTTTGTTCATTTTATTCAGGTATCTCATGGACGTTAATTCAGTACCGGATAGATGGATCACAAAACTTCAATGAAACTTGGAAGAAGTATAAGTACGGTTTTGGGAGACTGAACGGTAAAGCAGTTTCATTCATTTATTCACTGAACTGATAACTAAAAATATTTACTGGTGACCAATTATGGGCTAGGTACTGGAAAAAGAGCATGAATGAAACACAGTACAGGCCACGTGAGAGTTTATTAATAAACAAGTACATTTGTAAAAATTTTATTTATTACTTTAATTACACTAATATCACTATTGGTTTTTAACTGTACTAACATTAATTAAATGATGTATAACTGTCATAATTATACTTACTAAATATAATTTTAAGTGTTTTGTGCTTTTATAAGTGATAAGAGACACAAGGAATTAGCCATAGCATTAGTCACTGCACTTCCTTACTACCATTTTAGACATCAAATTTTTGGAGGTTAAAAGAGACATGGACATCGTCACATGTACAGTATGTTTTAAATTTTAATTACTTAAATAT